GTTTAGGATAGTTTTGCATGCATGTTGCATATTCGTGTTGTTTTCAGGTGATTTGGAGCTATTGGTGAGCAAATTGGAGGAAGTGGACCGGAACCAATCAGTATACTCGACCACGAGGTCGAGTACCATCATCCTGGCCACTGAAGCTGATGCTCGACCACAACACTGAAGCAGATGCTCGACCACAACCTGCCATCAACACTTGATCGCATCCTCTGTCATCATACTCGACCGTGTGATCGAGCAACCCAGCGTCCTTGTGTATCTGGATCACTCGATCAGCCACTCGATCGTGTCAGTCGAGTACACCCAGCAAGCTTCCCTCAGATCACTCGACCAACCACTCGATCACCACCTCCCCGCAGCCACTTGATCATAAGCTTCAGAGTCTTCTCAGATCCCAACTCAACCAGACATTGAGCATAAGGAAGATAAGAAGATGAAGCAGAACTCGAGCACATACTCGACCCAAGTGCTCGATCTCACCATGCCCAGAGCAAGAAATCGCAAAGGCGCCAACTTTATTCAACCTCTCTACTCGATCACAAGGGTCGAGTATCTCCGTAAACCGCTTTAAAACTTTATCGTTTTGTGTTTTAGGGCTTCCTAGTATTTGCTATAAATAGGTTGTTTCTCATAATTTTCAGTCTAAGTTTTATTATGCAGAACAATTAGTGTATTCTTCATCTTTGTAATCCAGATTTCTCTTAATCTATTGAGTATTTGCTTTTGATTTCTTCTACAAAGTTGTTCATCTTGTTGAGATCTTGCTAATATGAAGTTTTTATGCATTTCTGGGTTTGTGTTCTTGGTTATGAATTTTGAGTAGTGATTAGGGTTCTTGAGGATGGGTTAGAGTAGCTTAGAATCTTTAATCTAATAGGTGGTTGAGTTTGATCGGTAGATCCCTTCTGGATTAGTTGTTCTTAATGCTGATTGCTTTCTGATCAACTGGAATCTGAGCCCAGACATTTCCGCACCCAAAAGGTGTTCGATGAAATGTCTGAACCACTAATTCCAGAGATTCGTGGCTCTGTACCAAGGTATTGGTTACAGGGAGCGTTTTGGCTTAGACTTGTTGTTTCGTAATGCCTGTTAAGTTAGCTCTCGTCAATGGTGATTGAGTCTTGGACTAGCTTTGCTTGAGGATCTCTGTTGCGGTAGCACTTGGATTTGGTTATTGAACTCGTTGTCTAAGGATAGTTTGTTGAGCATGTTAACCACCTGTTAGATTAAGGAGACTTCACTACTCGATTACCCCATCCTCGGGAATTTTTCTTCCAATTGATTTCTTTGTTTACATCGCTTTTGATTGCTTGATCTTGTCACTTGTTGCTTAGTTTTATCATTTCTAGCCTGTTTCATTTGAAGTACTCGACCACACCCAGTAGTTTGGTAACAAACTGTGCAGTCGAGTACCCAGTTTACAGTTTCTGTTAAGTTACTCGACCTGATACTCGACCACACCCAGTGCTTGGCATCAAGCTGTGTTGGTCGAGTATATTGCCTGTTATTGTTAGAATTTCTGTTATCTGAATGAACACTAGAGCTGTTGACAACATCAAAACCTGTTATTACTTGGCTTGACTCTGTGATATCTGATTGCATCTTGATTGCTAGCATCACACCCATTTGGATTGACACCTTAAATACTGCAATGACATGATAGTGATTTAAGGATAATTGATCTTAGTTAAAATCATACTATCAATGGTTCGGACCACTTTTTATTTATCATTCAAAAACTATAATCCGTAGAATGTGGATTGAAAAAAATAGAACAAGCTAAGTCTACGGTGGACTAACTACGGACCGCTTTTACGTAGAAATGAACTTGGTCCTCTTATGCATGGCGTAGCATATTATTTGGTACTTTGCAAATATAAGGCTAAGTACTTTGCAAATAAAAGCTTCCTAGATGCGAAAATTGGGTATAGACCCTCTTATGCATGGCGTAGCATATTATTTGGTAGAGAACTTCTTGAAAGAGGTCTCATGAGGACTATAGGGGATGGTCAACATACCTATGTCTGGGTGGATAAATGGATTTTAGACACATTCCCAAGGAGACCGATTAACAAGGAGCTAATGATGGATTTAAACCTTAGGGTGTCATCTTTAATAACATCACAGGGTGACTGGAATGTTCAAAGGCTGAATGAAATCTTTCCTCCTTGCGATGTTACCCACATTAGATCCTTTCCGCCTGAAGTTAGTGTATTAGATAAATGTGCTTGGGCCTACACAAAAGATGGGAATTATTCTGTAAAGAGTGGCAATTGGGTTCTCACGAGGGAAGCGGAACTTATGGAGGTTATCCCTGCAGATTTACAAGCAGCTAACAAGACTAAAGAAAGGGTATGGAAGGTTTCTACAGCTCCAAAGATCAGAGTTTTTTTATGGCGAGTCTTATCGGGTGCCCTTGCGATTGATGATTGCTTGAGGAGACACGGTCTTAATACTAATCCAGTGTGTCAACTCTGTAATGGGACAAATGAAACAATCTCTCATGTTTTGTTTGATTTTTACTTGGCTCACAATGTCTGGATTATCACAGGCTTGCCTTTGTGGCCATATGGATCGTCTAACTCCATCACTGAACGGATTGATTATCTTTTGAATTTAATGGAGAAGCAGGATCTAGATAAAGAGCTGCGGGAGGCTATCCCTTGGTTGTTGTGGGAGATTTGGAAGGCAAGGAACTCTACTCTGTACGCGGCGAAGACTAACTCTCCACATTTTGTTGTGGCTACAGCGTTGGAAGAGGCAAAAGAGTGGCTGCAGCAAAATATCCTCTCTCAGCAAGGAAATGTTCTAAGAAACCAGAGACAAATGGTGGGTGAGAAGTTATGGACTAAACCGGCGTTTGGGAAAATAAAGTGTAACATTCATACTTCTTGGATCAAGGACTCATGTCATGTTGGAGGAGCCTGGATTGTACGGAATCACGCGGGGGATGCAATTTTTCATGCGCGGGATGCTTTTATTCCTATGTTTAATCGTCTCGCTGCGGAGCTTCATGGCATACTTTGGTGTCTTTGTGGTTTAAAAGATATCCGTATAGAATCGTGTGAATTATGGTCAGATTGTGGTGCGGCTATTGATGCGTTACGCAGACCAGACGAGTATCTTAAATACCGTTCTCAGCTTATAAAGATACAACAGGTAATACGGGTGATGCGGGAGGTTAGTTTTCACCTCTCTTCACCGAAAGCCAATTCTTTGGCTAGGGAGATTGCTTGTAGTGTTACTCGAGAAGGACGGTTTACTTCCTACTTAGCGCGAGGTGGTCCGGCTTGGCTGCATAACCGGATTGAGGATGAGCGGCGAGATCGACGTTGATTGGTTTTCTTTTGCTCTGTTTTTATTTTTTCAATTGCTCTGTTTCGTATCCCTCTGTTTTACAAACTCCTTTTGGTTTAATATTAAGACGACAAAAAAAAAAAAAAAGAGGTCTGAGCCTAATCAAGCAAAAAAGATTGTCTTTCTTGTTTCTCATCATATACTATTGCCGTTAAAGATAGTAGGAACCACTTTTCCCAGTCTCCTGTTTTGTAGGAATCCATATTCCCATATTCACTTCCACGTTGTATATCTACAAGAAAACAATCAATTGTTTTTAAGGATCCTATTTAAGGATCAAAAATAAAAATAATAAGCACATAATTTCTCTACAAATTAACTATTGTTTTTATCAAATTTCATCCTTGTTTCGATTTAGTACCAGTGCACAAATTCATAGGATGAATGCGAGTAACAAAGACAGACTTGATCTACTCAAAGTTCGCTTAGCCGACGTTCAAGAGGAGCTCGTGAAGATGCATGTTGGATTCAATGAAAAAGTTGCTCACTAAAACAGCTCACTGAGACTATTACAACACAAGCCATGTTCCAAACAAAGTTCACGAACTTGGAGTTTCCTAAATTCTCAACAGGAGATCCAACAACTTGGCTGAGTAAGGCGAATCAGTTTTTTTGCGTATCAAGATATACCGGAGGATCATCTTCGCGTGCAATATGCATCTTACCATCTCGAAGACGAAGCATACCAGTGGTGGCTATCAATGACCAAGACAATTAAGGAAGATAATAGGGTCCTTACTTGGAACGTATTTGAAAACGAGATGTTGGTTCGATTTGGTGCAACCGAAGATTTCGATGAAGCTTTATGCAAGATTAAACAAACGGGTAGCCTCCAAGACTATTTACGGGAGTTCGAGCGTCTTTTAAGTAAGGTCAACGGTTGGACACAAAAAGCCTTGGTGGGAACATTCATGGGAGGTCTTCACACATCAATTTCAGATAGTATTCGGATGTTTCGCCCTCAATCCGTAAAGGACGTGATCATGCTGGCTAGAATGAGAGACGAGCAACTACAAAAGGCGAAGAAGAGTTCGGCCAACAACTAGAATTATTAGCAATATAAATTCTTATTGTTAGTTGACAAGGCCAGACTCTATTTGCAATGTCCAATTACTAGTTGAGATAGATTTTATTTGTACTTCATTCATCAATATAACAAGTACTTTCCCAAAGTCAAGTACAAGTTTAACCAATTGTGTGTAGGTTTGATCATGGGGTAGTTCCTTAGTCAATTGATTGATCATAATGCATATTTTCCACCCTTAATTATCCCTACCTCTCCACTCGCTAAAAACGTAATGCTCATCGAACACGTCTAAGGAGGATTAAGTTAAGTTCTACACATAAAACTTGAAAGCTTGTGTTCCCAAAAACTAGTTTATTTCGCATTGGTTATCGAAAATGACTAGTTTTTTCCAATTGTTTATCTATTATGTACATGCTGAAGTGAAGTATATGACTATGTGAATTAGCAAGCTGAAGTATAAAACAAAGTTAGATAGTTTAGCAGAAAAAAGAAAGAAAAAAAAAACTCAAAAAACATTAAAACTTCTACGTATGTTCTTGAAAATTTAAGCTACTCCCTTTTGACATTTGATCTTTTAAAATCTTTGTTGTTGTGTCCAAAATGAAGCTGATGAAACATAACCACTAGACCACTTGTTTAATTCAGTTTTTGCTATAACCTGTATTTGTTAATCTTCCATCTTCTTTGTATATACAAAGCCCCTTACCTAGTAAGAAGGATCTTTGAAAACAAGCACAAACACTATACAACAAACCGCGAATAATATGATCAAAATATCGAACGTGAGAGCAGTCATGGCTTGATCACTAAGCTCCATGTTTCTTCCACCTAACCGGTCAACCATATCAGGTATTGATTCATAGCCCCTAAAATCTTGCTCTTTCGGATCCTCAAGCTTCATTCTCATCTTCTCAGCTTGACGACTCGCGACCTCTTGAGCCAATGTCCAGTCATAGAACCTTCGAGTCTCTTCATCGCTCAAAACATTGTACACTTCTCTTAGTTTCATGAACTTGTCTGAAGCTGTTTTAAGTGGTAATGAAGTTGTGTCGGGATGATACTCTTTTGATAATCTTCGGTACGCAGATTTTATCTCTTCTAGATCAGCATCCGTTGAAACACCTAAGAATCTGAAAATTATTACAGTTACAAATTATGAAAAAGAAAAAAAAAAAGATATGTAATAAGAAAATCTTTGTTTTTGCTAACTGGTAATGAGAATCAAAAGAGTCTTTGATTAGTTCTGCAAATTTTTCATCACTAAGGAGATTGGTTTTGTCCTCATCAACGGATTTGGTCGGGTCGGATCTTCCTCCGATCCAGCCTTCGTCCGGGCTTTCCCAGTGGATTCTTGTGTCTACTCCTGGCGATGGTTTTGGCGGTTTTGTCGGGCCTTGTGACGCGTACGTCACTCTTCTTGCCGTTATCCTTCTAAATGCTCTTGTATCGTCCCTGAAATGCGTGCCGTTTTGGATTTTGGGAAGGATAATGCAGGACGTTCGAGCATAGGTAGAAGTTGCTGAAGCCATGGCTCTGTGTTGAAGATAGTTTGTTCTTTTTTTTTTCCCTTCATGTTTTTGGTTTCTGTTACCGCAGAAACTTGTTCCACAACCTCATGATATGTGTGGTCTGGATTTTCTTTATATCTTTATTGTCCTATATCTTGTATCTAGTGTCCATAGGAACAAAAAAAATTAAAATAAAGACAGATCAACAAAAAAAATGTATTTTGTAAACATGTATGAAGCGTAAAGATATAAAATACAAAACTTTGAGGGGGAGAGACAATAAGAGGATCACATAATTTAGAGAGATATGATTTCCTTCTTTGGAAGAGGAGTTCAAATATGTATGGTATATTTTACAACAAATGTGTGCCTTTGTATAAACAAGTACACTATATATTAGTGGCGGAGCGTAGAACAAATTTTTATTGGGGTCAAAATTATACAAAACAAAAAAAAAAACACAAATTTCTTGTATTTCTCAAACAACTTTTCTATAATTATAAGCCCAAATTTTAAAAGGTTTACATGGCCTAAATTATGTATTATGGATTTGGGTTTAATTTTAAAGGATTTAAGTATAATCTTACCTCGAGAATGTAGGTTTTGGGTCTTTTTTTAGTAAAGCATATGTGGATGTCGGATTCACAAACTGAAATATTTATTTATTCGTGGATTTAATCTCTCAAGACGAAAAAATATATGTGAATTAGTATAAAAATGTATGCAAAATATAGTGAGAAAATATTATAGTATTGATAGTATATCGAGATTTCGATGTACCCACTTTGGTATACGAGGTCTCATATTTATACACAATGATTTACATTAATTGCCTAATTAATGTAATAATTTTCAATAATTGTGTCTGTTTTTATTTTGTCATAAATGTTGTAACATCCTCATTTTAAATCCATTCAACCCCTTGATGGGCCTTCAAGTGTTCGGCCCACTGCTTGGGCTCGAAATCCTCCTTCACCTCGTCATAATCTCCGAGCTTTTCAGTTCGTTTATCGCTGGTTCGAGATATCTGCTCAGGTATTTTTCTATTGACTCTTCCCCCCCCCCCTAAGTCTTTCGAGTTGCTGCTCCAGTTCGGAGAAGTTAAATATTTAATCCCGAAGATTGCTGACCCGATCTTTGATTCCTTAATTTACTCTGTCACGTTCCTCAGATTTTGGAATTGCCATGAGTAGCTATCTTGACATCTGTGGTATTATATATTTTGATTCCATTACTTTATTATTAAAACGGGGGAAAACTGTCCTACTTCCACACTACTTCCAAGACGGTTTTCTTCTTCACTGGTTAAAAGGTAATTTCTTCTCCCGCCTTCTCAATAACCTTATTGCTTTACTCTTTGTCCAAAAATACTTTCATTTTTGCTTTTCTTTTTGTTCTGAACTTTCTCCGACCTTTGAATCCTTTTGTTCGATTTTTCGTTTTTAAGAAGCAATCTTTGATTCATCATGAGTTCTCTTTCTTGTTACATCGATTCTCCTAGACCCAATCCCCCAACAGAGGGTGAAATCATTGTCTCTACTGGCACCGTTGACTGCACCCATTCAGGTAACATCGCCGGTTGATGTGCGATTAATTTTGCCTCAAAGTTTTATCTTAAAGACCACACGTTAACTGCAAGTGCACAATAATCAGCACTAGTAGTTAAGGATCGATCCCACAGGAGTGATAGATATAGAGATTGAATCCAAAGAAAAAGATCTGGTAAGACAAAACTAAACTTGGAGTTTTTTGTTTTGGGTTTCATCTCCGACCTTTGAATCCTTTTGTTCGATTTTTCGTTTTTAAGAAGCAATCTTTGATTCATCATGAGTTCTCTTTCTTGTAACATCGATTCTCCTAAACCCAATCCCCCAACAGAGGGTGGAATCATTGTCTCTGCTGGCACCGTTGACTGCACCCATTCAGGTAACATCGCCGGTTGATGTGCGATTAATTATGCCTCAAAGTTTTATCTTAAAGACCACACGTTAACTGCAAGTGCACAATAATCATCACTAGTATTTAAGGATCGATCCCACATGAGTGATAGATATAGAGATTGAATCCAAAGAAAAAGATCTGGTAAGACAAAACTAAACTTGGAGTTTTTTGTTTTGGGTTTCATAATGACTAAGCAATCAATTAAGTAAATGAAAGAGATTGTAAGCAATACTATTAAGACGACGTTAAACGTTTTAGGGTTTCTCAAGGTATCATGGTTTTCGACTAATTAGTGTTAGGATATATCAAGTTTCTATTTTTTTTTATCTAGTTCTCAACCATGAAACACGAATAAGCACTGTTAGATCAACTGTAACAGTGTAATCTAACTGTGAACGTGGAAATGGATACTGATTGACACCAACAAGAGTGATTCAACAAATGCAAAAAATTCAAAACTTAACCAACACATACACGTAATTAGCTAATGTAAAGACTGATACATAGTTAACATGTTATAACAATTATGAAAGTGGAATCTACTGGTCTCTGTGCAATGAGGACAAGGTCATCGAAGTGGTTGCTTGAGGGATTCTTTATTCTTTTTTTTTCGTCAACTAGGGATTTAACAATTTGCGGGTCCGCGTCATAAACGGTGACCACTAAACTGAGACTTTGATTATGGGGGCATATATAAATTGTCAATATTAATGAAACGTTTTTCCATGTTCTATTATTAATTGTTATAGAACTTGTTGTTCTTATTGATTAATGAATGAGGTTTCAATACATATTTATACATGACAAGGGAGACAAATCTCCATTGGGCTAGTAAACCCTAAAGCCCAAAAGCCCAAAAGCCCACTAAGTATAACATAGACGTCATAAGGAGAATCCTCTAGAACATGGACATGGGCCTTCTAGAATATGGATTAGGCCCACGGTTATGGAGTCCATCCGACCATGCGGTCTACAACACTCCCCCTTGGATGACATAACCGTGTAGATGCCAAAGGATCTCAGTAATACGCTCGGGGATGCTGCCTCATTAAAACCTTACCAGGAAAACCCATTGGGACAAAACTATGGTTAAGGAAAAAGAGTACAGCACGTATTACTCCCCCTGTTTTGGTCATCCCTGCAAGTCCTTAAGTCTCCGCATTCCAATTTGATGCGTGAGCTTCCTCAATGTCGATGTTGGTAACGCCTTGGTGAAGAGATCGACTGAGTTGTCGCTGGATCGAACTTGTACCACTCGAACTTCTCCATCCCTTTGCAAGTCATGCGTGAAGAAGAACTTGGTTAGAATGTGCTTCGTCCGATCTCCCTTGATGTAGCCGTCCTTGAGCTGAGCGATACAGGCTGTGTTGTCTCCTCATATGATGGTCTTTGATGTTGTAGTAGCTGCGCCTTGAAGAAGGCTGCCTACGTACCCTTGGAAGGGATCAAGCCACACGTAGTTCCTATTTATTGACCATGCCATAATCTGATTTTACCTGCATTAGCAAAACAAACTAAACCAAAGCAAACTAGACCTTCTTTGGTTAGATCAGTATAGAATAAAACCCAAATAAACAAACATAGGAAGAATAGAATTTAAAATTTAACCAAACCTTCCTTCAAACCTTTCTAGTGCCTTTGGGTTGATCATGAACTAAATTTAGACAAAGGAGGTTCACGGCAAAACATATGTCTGGTCTAGTGTGGCTAGCCAAGTACATTAACGCTCCTATGGCACTAAGGTATGGCACTTCAGGATCGAGAACTTCGTCCTCATCCTTCTTTGGACCGAATGGATCACTATCCAATCCGAGGCTTCTCACCACCATTGGGCTGCTCAATGGGTGGGCCTGGTCCATATTGAATCTCTTGAGTACTTTTTCAGTATATGCCTTTTGATGCACAAAGATTCCATTATTCACGTACTCAAGTTGCAATCCCAAACAGAATTTTGTCTTGCCTAGGTCTTTCATCTCGAATTCTTTCTTTAGATATTTGACTGTTTGGGCGATTTCCCCAAAGGTTCCAAGGATGTTTAAATCATCCACATATACTGCTATTATCACAAACCCTTTGTTTGCAAATTTCTTTATGAAGATACATGGACTGATGGGATCATTCTTATAACCTTCTCTGACTAGGTACTCGCTTAATCTATTGTACCACATGCGTCCACTTTGTTTCAGTCCATAAAGTGATTTTTTCAGCCTTATGCAGTATTGGTCTCGAGACCCTTTCTTATCTTTATCTTTGAGCTCAATACCCTCTGGTAATCTCATATATATCATCCAGTGGACTTATATAAATATGCAGGCATTACATCCATTAGCCGCAAATCAAGTCTTTTTCTTTATATAGCCAGACTTAGCAAAATTTAAATGTCTTAGCATCCACCACAGGGGAGTATGTTTCTTCATAATCTATCCCCGGTCTTTGTGAGAATCCTTGTGCTACAAGCCGTGCCTTATATCTCACGATTTCATTATTCTCATTTCTCTTCTTCACAAAGACCCATTTGTGTCCTACTGGTTTTTACATCGAATGGTGTCCTTAAGGTCGGACCAAACTCATTCCTTTTCTTAATGATTCTTAGCTCCACGTTTTATGATCTTGTACCATTTAATCAATCAAGTCTTTGAGTGCACTCTAGTATAGACGTGGGCTCCTGATCCTCATTTATATTCATAAATTCAAGTGCTACCTTGCATGCAAAATCATCTTATGTCGAGATTTCTTATATGTTCCATTATGTTCCAGACATGATATAATCGATTTGAGATTTATTATGGTCAGGACCTTTAATACTTTGCAGCTTGGCGTCCCAAGCTACATTATATGGTACCTGTACCTTAGAGCCGGCCGGCCTTATCTCCATGTCTGGGATGGTTTCCTTAGTAACCTCGGATTCCTATTGCACCTTTCTTTGATTTTCGAGGATTTTTATCTTTGGAACCTATTGGTCTACCACGTTTCTTTCGTGTGTTAGACTCGGTAGCAATTTCATTGATTCCCTTTTGGATATCAATACGTACTGGTGCATTACAAGCTGGTATGTACGTTTTTGTAACTTTCTTTGGGTCAGCAAAGGAATCTGGCAATTGATTAGCTAGCTTTTCAAATGTATAATCTTATGGACCTCTGATTCTCATGCCAGAGTCCGAGGATCTTGCCAATTTAAGGATGTTTGATTCCATTATATTTCTTTTATTGCTTTACCCAGCTTGTTCGTCTCTCCACCTATAGTAGGAAATTCGGATTCATTCAAATGACAATCCGCGTATCTAGCCTTAAATAGATCACCTGTAGTTGGCTCTAGATACTTAATAATGGTGGGAAAATCAAATCCAACATATATTCCCATCCTCCTTTGAGGTCCCATCTTTGTTCTATGTGGTGGAGCAATCGGTACATATACGGCACACCCGAAAGTCTTTAGATGGGATATGTCTGGCTCATGACCCATGAGTAATTGGGATGGTGAATATTTATGTTCACTAGATGGCCTTATGCATATAAGCTCTGATGCATGTAAAACAGTGTGTCCCCAAGCGGCTACTAGAAGCTTCGACCTCATGAGTAATGGTCGAACGATCAATTGAATTAGTTTAATGAAGGATTCCGCTAATCCATTCTGTGTATGTACATGTGCTACGGGATGTTCCACACTTACCCCCATGGACATACAGTAGTCATTAAACGCTTGGGACGTGAATTCACCGGCATTGTCTAGACGTATAGTCTTAAGCGGAAAATCTGGAAAGTGGGCTCGCAGTCTTATTATCTGGGCCAATAACCTAGCAAACACTTGGTTTCTAGTAGATAGGAGACAAACATGCGACCATCTTGTCGATGCATCAATGAGGACCATACATATATCTCCTTGTATCCTTTCCAAAAATTTTAAGGTCTCTTTATTTACCTTAGCCGGTGATGGCCTTATAATGAGTTTCCCTTGTGAACATGCTTCACACGTGAGATTCTTAGGGATAACTCTTTTCTCTTTTAGGGTGTGCCCCTTTGAATTTATCATAAGCTTACGCATCATACTATGACCCGGATGGCCAAGCCGGTCATGCCATAAAGTGAATTTCTCGATGAAATCTTTGTTCATTGCCATATTAGCTTCGATCATATCGATTTTAACATAGTAGAGACCAGTGGATAATGCGGGTATAGTCTCTAGGACTTTCTTATGTCCTTGGGTGATCTCTTTGTTCCCTTCACCCTTTGTTTCAATATGGAAACCATTCAATCTTATATCTTTGAAACTTAATAAGCTCCTCTTCGAGCTGGGTGAATATAGGGCATCGCTTAGTTCAAGATGCGTGCCATTTGGTAATAGAATATGGGCTTGGCCGTAGCCCTCAATAAGGTTTGCTATACCCGCTAAGTGCTAATATTGGCATTTTTCATTATGAGATTTAGGAAAATATCTCTTATCTTTTGTGTGGCTCCACTATCCACCACAATTATGTTCTTGTCCTCGGCCATTTCTTATATGGACAAGAATCATGTTCTAAACATAAAATAATATAAAATAAATTCAAGCAAATAACAATCAATGAACACATAAAATGCAAAGAAAAACATAGAGGTTTTGATGTCGAAGTAAAATTTATCAACTTGATTCTTTTATGCAATCAGAAGTTTCATACTCTATTAGATCATCTTGATCATGTTCACCATCTTTATATACCAAATGGGCTTTAGGATTCTTCCCTTTTACACTCTCTTGATAGAGGTCACAACGATGTTTGGAAGTCCTACATATCTTAGCCCAATGGTTTCCCATTCCATATCTATGGCATACTCATTTGGTCGAGTGTTGTGGTTTGGAAATACCACATCGTCCTCGCCCTCGACCACGGCCGGAATTGGGTCTACATCCACGGTTAAAGTGGTTCCCACGGCCGGATGAGTTATAGTGGCCACAACCACGTCCTTTCCATCCACCACGGTCACGACCATGTGGTCTATCACTTTAGACGTGGTTATATTCTTTGGATTCTTTCTTATCCTCTGCGGCCTTATTGGCATTAGGTAATGGGGTTAATCTATGAGGTCGTAACTCACTGTTTTTATCTGTAAGTCATTATTTTGCTCATCTAGCAGTAGACTCATCCATGGACTTATAGTCCTGATTATGAGACTCTCAATAAGACGGTGGCTAATATTGCCTTGTATCTATCTTTCTTTCTTGGCATTATTGCCTTATTAGATACATTTACCAAGTCCTTTTGACTTTAGGATAATCTTAGTATCCATTGCCCATTATAAAATAATTATCTCCTAAGAGATTTAGGGCAGTAAAGTACAAGTTGTAATTCAACATCTACAAGGAAAAGTTTTGAGTCAAAATCATGTAATCGTTAGTGTCATGCGGTATTTGAGACCGAACCATGAATCGATTTACTTAGGGATTTGACTTTCCTCTTTTGCTTAGGATTAGATTTCCTCTTTTGCTTAGGATTAGATTTCCTCTTTTAATTAGGATTAACTTTTCCTTTTCCTTTTAGGATTTACTTTCCTCTTTACTTTAGGATTAATTTTCCTATTTCACTTATGATTTTAGATTTTAAGATTTCCTATTTTAATTAGGATTTTAAGGTACAATAGGATTTAGGATTTTATTTAGGTTTTCATGCTTTCTATTAGGATTTTAAAGTTTCCTATTTTATTTAGGATTTAGGGTTGTTAAGATTTCCTATTATCCCTAAGATTTTAGGGTTTTAGGCTTTGAAAGTTTCGGCCTTAGTTTAGGTATTTTCGATTTGCGATTTTTAGGTTTAGATAATTAAAACTTCTCTAGCAACTTAGGCGAGTTTAGCTTAAGCGATAATCAACTTTTTTTAGCAACCTAAACGAGTCAAACAATCGAGCAAACAAGCAATCGGATCAAGCAAGCAATCGAATCATACAAGCAAAGCAATCACTTAATCAATCATCAATCGTTTTAGGGTTTCTCTTTGCTTAACTTTCAAGTTCAATTGTTGGTTCTTTAGCTTTAGGGTTTTGATGTTACCTTTCACCTTATGGGGTTGTATGGACTAGAACCGGGAGCTAAAGACCTCGGTAACTCACGCTACTGCAACTAACCGCAAACAGTACCACGATGAACAGTACCGCGATGAACAGTGTCGCGATGAACAGTGTCGGCGATGAACAGTGTCGGTGATGAACAGTGTCGGCGATGAACAGTGCCGGTGATGAACAGTGTCGGCGATGAACAGTGTCGGCGATGAACTGTGCCGCGATGAATAGTGTCGGTGATGAACAGTACGGCGATGAACAGTACGGCGATGAACAGTATCGCGATGAACAGTGTCGGCGATGAACAGTATCACGATGAACAGGTCGGCGATGAACAGTATCGCGATGAACAGTGTCGGCGATGAACAGTGTCGCGATTTTTAGGGTTAAGGTTTTAGGGTTTTCGTTAAGAGCAAGTCGTGCTGATAACGTGTTATAGAACTTGTTGTTCTTATTGATTAATGAATGAGGTTTCAATACATATTTATACATGACAAGGGAGACAAATCTCCATTGGGCTAGTAAACCCTAAAGCCCAAAAGCCCAAAAGCCCACTAAGTATAACATAGACGTCATAAGGAGAATCCTCTAGAACATGGACATGGGCCTTCTAGAATATGGATTAGGCCCACGGTTATGGAGTCCATCCGACCATGCGGTCTACAACATTAATTAATTTATTATGGGTCTTGTTTCGTTGTGTTTATCAACGGCTAGTGACTTTTAAATTGTTTTTTCTTATGATATACTATAGTTTTAGCTAATTTATGTGCTTAATTTTTATTAATCCATAAAAAATAATATAATTATTATTCGATGATTACCAAGTTTTACAAGAGCAACTTTGAGATTAAACATTGACTTTTAATTAGAGAGAGAAAGAGACTTGAAAGGAGCACAGCTTTGAGATCTCAGATTCATCTCTCCTTCTTCTTCTTGTTCTTCTTGTTCTTGTTCTTGTTCTTGTTCTTGTTCTTCTTATTCTTCTTCTTCTTCTTCTTGTAGTATACGGAAATGGAATCTGAGGAAGTGTCACTACCGTTGATCCACGAGCATCCTATGATACCTTGGAATGATCTGCGGAAAGGTGATTGTTGTGGACGTTTGGAAGCTATCAGTGATGGCTATTACTGCAAAAGATGTGACTTCTTTGTTCACAGGGAATGTAGTGAGTCCTCCGAATTTATCAAACACCCATCTCACTCTGTTCACTCTCTTCAGCTTCGAAGTAATAGCCATAATAATTACTGCAATTTATGTCGAAAGGATATCACCCATCTATGTTATCGTTGTGATATCTGTGACTTTGAGGTGGATTTATACTGTGCAAAGTACCCACCACCAGATGTTATGGATATTTCGGAGACGCATCACCACAAGCTCACCCTTTGGTTACGGAATAGGTTTGATTGCGACGAATGTGGCAATTTTGGATATGGGTTTTCATACCTATGTCGTGAATGTGATTTAGACTTCCATGTAGATTGCCTATGGAATCCGTCTGAGGCAAAACACCCGTCAGAGGTAAACCACACTTACCACCTTTTACACCCTCTTAAGCTCTACACAGGTAAACGACCGGACTATTCTGATGGAAAGTGTCGTCTTTGCGAAAGAAAGATTGAAGATAGATTGTTTTATCATTGTTCTGCTTGTAACTTCAGTTTGGATATGCGTTGCGTTTTAAAACCACCACCACAGTTTGTTCTGGATTTGAAAGTTCATGCTCACCAACTCATCTTTCGCCCAAGACTTGATTCTTTTACATGTAATGCTTGCGGGTTGAGTGGAGATCGAAGCCCTTACATATGTGTTCAATGTGATTTCATGATACATCAACAGTGTCTTGCCCTTCCACGCCTCATAAACATCAATCGGCATGATCACCGTGTTTCACGCACTTTTGTTCTTGGTGTTGTGAATTCTGTATGTGGAGTTTGTCGCCAGAAGGTGGATTGGACTTGGGGCGGGTATTCTTGTTTGCGGTGTCCCGGCTATGTCGTTCATTCCAAATGTGCTACTAGAAAGGATGTGTGGAACGGGAAAGAGCTCGAAGGAATACCTGAAGAGACAGAAGATATAGAGCCATATGTGGTAATAGATGACAACACAATACAACATTTCAGCCACAAAGAGCATTACCTAAGATTCCACGTTAATGGTTTTCTTTGGGAAGAAAATAAGCGGTGCAGTGCTTGCATCCATCCCATTTGTCTCCAATCCTTCTATGGATGTGTTGATTGTGATTTCATTCTTCACCAAAGTTGCGCTGAATCTTCTAAAAAGAAATGGCATGTACTACACAATGACCGACTTACTTTAGTTACAAGCGTGGCCAATTACTTTTGGTGTGCAGCTTGTCATAGAATGTCCAACGGTTTCATGTACCAGTGCGGAGGTATGAAGTTAGATGTTCTGTGCGGTTCAATTTCTGAGCCGTTTGTCCATCCAAGCCACCCCAATCATCCCTTATATTACATTCCACGAGTAGGGAAAAAAAAATGCAAGGGCTGCTCCAAAAACCGCCTCGCTGTGCTTACGTGCATCGTAAGTGGTTGTGAATTTGTCTTATGCTTCCATTGCGCCACATTACCACAAGTGGTAAAGCATAGAGTAGACGATCATCCTCTCTCACTATGTTATGGCGAAAAGGCAAGTGGCAAATATTGGTGTGACATTTGCGAGAAACAAACAGATCCAAAGAGATTTTTCTACACATGTAAAGATCACCGAGCTAGTTTGCATACAAAGTGCGTGCTAGGAGACTTTGCAGGGCTCATGCCAAGACTCACAATAAAGTATGGTAGCACATCATATGACGTGGTGCTCAATAAAAGTATATCTCGTCCATTTTGCAAGGGGTGTGAGTCGCATTGCATGTACCCTATCGCCTTGAAGATTCCTGGAACCTCAGATATATATGTTTGCTATTTAGACTGCCTAGGGCGTGTCCGAAGACATTTATGAGCAAAGTGAAGATAGATCGTTAAGACAGAAATGAAATAAAGTTTGTGAAGCCAATATATTCGTTTCTGATGGAGTTGCAGGTGAGGAGGAACCGGTACGCAGAACGTCAAACCGGATGCATGTACCAAACCGGAAGTATTTGAATTGAGTTGGTTTGTTTTATGTTTGAATAAGTCTTTGCTTTTGTTGAGTCAATAACGAGAGTCGTGGTTTCCTTATGTTGAGGAACCAACTCTCCCATTTTCTATTCCCAGTTTGTAGGAGTGATAACTCCATCTATTTGTTATTTAAGAAATGAAAAAGCCAAAAGAGGCAATGTTAATTGCCCAAAGAAAAGTGTTACTCTCTGTTACAATTTGGATTGGGTTTTATAATCTGAGACCTATCAGTTTCGAATTCACTTATCCTTCGATTAAACGTTTTGGTTCACTATGAGTTGCTTTCCTTTATGTATTATAAAAATTATAATGGCATTATATCAGCCTTCATATGATAATTATATAGAACGTACAGTTGGAATAAGATTTATTTTTTCTTCATATTAGTGTAGATCAATGTTCTAGAAAATGGTATTTTCATATGGTGAAACATTTTCATTACTAGTGTATAACTATTTCAAAAGACATTAATTTATCATGAAATAAGAGATACCAAACATGATATTGGCAGTATTTAGATTAATTAGATATTTTGAGACATATTACATAAGTTTTTTGTGTTTTTTCGGTTAAATTAATTTTGTGTCATTGATTTTCATAATTAATTTTACCATTTTAATGTATAATTTTGACGTAATATTATATATCATACTGGAAAGTTGCCCACACAATGAGTGGGTTATATATTTTTTGTTAATTTTGAATAAAAATGAGTTTGTATTATATTATACAAAAGTATGTGTACGATTATTCATACAGTTCTTGTAAAAAAAATATAATAATTTTTATTATTGATTAAATTTTTTCAATGCGATTTCCATCGAATAAGGATTATGTTAATCAAATGTTCAATCTTCTCAGATTAGATGAAGCCATAAGATGAAGGTTCGAGCCATGGAGTCTGGGTTCCGTGAAGAAGAAAAGAATAACAGAAGTAGATGACGACGAGTAAGGTTTGTCTTGGAAGAAGAAGATTACGAAGAAGAAGACAGTACTCAGTAGTGCGGTCGTGATATGAGCGATCGGCTTCGTCAATCTACTTGTTCGCATGCCTTCACCATTTTCTTGGAGATCGATGTCTCAAAAATGTTTTGTTTTGAAGATGATGTACAAATGACTAAAATGCCCTCAGTGTTAGCGATATCAAATTCTTGAAGACTTTTTTGGCTGTGTTTTACGTTCTTCATGCTTGCATATACATAATTCAAATCAATACAATCACAAACTCTTATGTATAAATTATAATCACAAACTCTTATGTATAAATTATAATCACAAACTCGATACAATCACAGATATACTAGAAGGACACTTGACTCTATATACTTCAGCTCCTTATTGCTGATCGAGTGCCCGAGACCAGGATATGAGTGCAGATAAACAAAGCTCCTTAGACGAATATTGGTACATTAGATTTCTATCATCAATTTATCTCGAAAAAGATTATTGCTTTTAATATACCTTGAATTCACAGGTAACACCCGCTTCTTTAAGAAAAGGAAGAGCAGCTTGACACTAGCCAAAGTCAATGCTCGTGGAAGAAATCTTATTAGGAGCTACAATGAATGATTCACAAGACATAAGTGGATTCAGACTAAAGAACATTGGTTTGTGTCGAATCATATAGGTTTAGTTGAACATGATAGTATTCCTCATACTCTATGTGAACAACACCTTGCCAACAGTGAAACCAAAGGGCTACTAAAGAGCTAAGGAGACTAGTAAGTAGGATTAAGCAAGTGTCCCTCTTCGTGTCTCTACTAAATAGAAAAAACTCCTTTCACTTTTTTTTTTTTTTTTTGACTATGATGATCCCTTCTTATTTGATTGATGCTTTGGAAATATTGGTCTTATCAAAAATATAAAAATAATGTGGTGGTGTCTTCCATGTGCACACACTTGTTTATCCCTTTTTTTTTAGTTGAAAATTAGATGATGATAAGGCACAAATCGTTGAAGAAAAAGGGAAAATTTGAAAGAAAAACGCATGATATAGCAAAAAATCGAAAGTGGTGGTTTAGCTTAGGGTTTAGAAACGTTTTTGGTTTTAACTTTTTTTAAAAAACGTAGACAACGATTTCTAAATTATATAGATCATGATTTAAAATGTAATCTACAATAAATATTTAGTTTTATTTTCTGAAGATTTACTTTCTATATTTAGAGAATTCTAAAAATTTCAGAAAACAAAATCTATAGTATCGTAGAATTTACATTCTAAAAGAAGATTACAATTTCTAACGATTGCAGAAGATATAGTAATTAGTAAAATGGCTATTCAAAAAAATTCAGAACATAGAACAAAGCGTAGAATGCATGTTCTAAATATTTTAAATATATGATTTTCGGACTTCTAAAATTTTTAGAACAGAAAACTAGTCTAAAATATGTAGAACATGTACAAAAATGTAGAATACACACTCTGACTTTCGCAGAACTCTAGAAAACGTGTTCTAACAAAATTAGACGAAACTTTAACTATAAAAAAATCAACTTTATTTCAACCAAATCTAAAATTTTTTGCTTCAAATCACCTCTACTCTTGTATATCTACCTGTTTTTCTGATAATATTTTTTTAAAAATGTTTAAAATATGGTGTAGGGGTAGTTTCGTCCAAAGTGACAATTTCACGAAAAAGGTATATATGGACAAATTTTTAAGTAGATATCCTTTTTTTCCAATTTTCTCTAATTAATAAGACCAAAATGTTTGTAGGAAGTTATATGTTGAACTCTTTTTTGTACCAAAAATTGGAAAAATGGGTAGTAAAACCCTCACTTTCCTTAAAACATATAAAAAACCCTCAACCTTTTTTTGAGGGTTTTTAAACCCTCACCTTTTCACAAATGGTAAAATAAATCCTATTACTAATAAATTCAACTTCAGTTTAAACAAATTGTTATATCAAAAGACCAACAAACAAAAACAATTTATTTTATGATTTTTTTTAATTTAAATTTGCGATTCTTTTTCTTTTAAAATTAAGTTTTTTATGATATAAAAATTCATTCACCATTTAGTTGAGATTAAGCAAATCACCTTTTGTTACTATTAGAAGTTATGTTATATTAACTACAAAAACTTATAGGATAGCACATTTGATTTTTTTTTGTTTGTTTGTGTTTTTCAAGTTTTGATTTAGGAAATAGTCAAAATTATAAGAAAATTTATATACAATTAGAGGTTCAATTTTGGATGATAATATACTACTTAAAATAATAATTAATTATATATAATTTATATTATATTTTTAATATATGGTAATATATATATATATATATATATATATATATATATTAACTATTAATAAATTTTTATTTAGTTTGTTTGGTCCGATGAAAATATTTTGATGTGGAAGTTCATATACTTTACGTAGTATTATAAAATTTGGTTTGGAAAATTTCAAGGAAAAATGGGTAAAAATGGGTAAAAACCCTCAATTTTTTTAGAAAAGGTGAGAGGTTTTTTACCCATTTTTCCTTGAAATTTAATATTTTTTCTTCAGTGATAAACTGTCGGACAGAGACGTTTAAAAGAAAGAAAGAGCTATTAAGTTAGATATTATAATCCGGGTCGAGCTACAGCTGGTGGGGTTTTACGGGACAGTAACGGTACATGGTGTGGAGGTTTTGCGGTGAACATAGGATTGTGTTCGGCTCCTTTGGCTGAGTTATGGGGTGTCTACTACGGGCTATTCATATCTTGGGAAAAAAGAGCCACACGGGTAGAGTTGGAGGGGGACTCGGAGATGGTGGTCGGTTTTCTTACGACAGGGATTAGCGATTCGCATAGGTCCGTACCTGAGCACAGTCAGGTGAAACAACTGTTTTGGGCACCTAAAATTGTAAACATTTTTTATTTATAAAATAGGCCCTCAAATTTATTTTACTTTTGTAAAAAGGCCACTATTTTTAGAAACTACTATAAAACCCTTCAAACTTTTTTCGGTCCCCAAACAAATTTAGGGCCGGCCCTGCGCATCCCTTGTCATTTCTAGTAGACTAGTACGACTGTGCTATGACTTCATTTCAAAGAACTGGATTGTCCGTATCTCTCTTGTGTATAGGGAGGCTAATCGTCTTGCCGACGAATTAGCTAACTATGTTTTTTCCTTGCCTTTAGATTTTCATAGTTTTTACCTTAGGCCTGATTTTGCCACTTCGATTATTTTTGAGGATCCGACTAGTGCTAAATGCCCACGGAATGTTCGTGTGTAATTTTTTAATATTAGTTTTTAATAATATGGGAGACTACTCTCCCTCATTATATTCTACCAAAAAAAAAAAGTTAGATATTATAATATTGGGGTTAAGAATGAAACAAAAATAACTCGGGTTTCTTTTGTTAAATAAAGCAAAGACGTGGGTTAATTTTGTGATTTTTCCTATTATTTCTCACTATAAAATCTGACAGGAACCAAAAAAACCCTCAATCAGATTCCTTCAAATTTCCTTCAACAAATTGTTTTGTTGCTTCTATCAAGTTCCTTATATTTTGCGATCTCGAGGTTTCTCTCTTTTTTCATGGATACTATGGCCGCGGCTCCGCAGTGGACGAGGGCCGATGACAAGGATTTTGAGTCAGCTCTGGTTATATTCCCGGAGGGTTCGCCGTATTTTTTAGAGAATATCGCTCAAACTCTGAAGAAAACGGTGGACGAGGTGAATAACCACTACAACACGTTGGTCCACGATGTTGATCTGATCGAATCGGGTAAGTTTGTTTTGCCCAAATACCCGGACGACGATTACGTGACACTGACGGAAGCAAGTCCGTCCAGAAACAAGGGCACTGGGAAAAAGAATGGAATTCCATGGTCACAAAATGAACACAGGTTAGTCAAAGAGTTATGAGAATAAGGGTTTCTTTGGATTGTGGAATTAAAATCCAAATTTAACAGTTTTAAATCTTACTAGGGTTGATGAATTAGGGTTTTGTTGGTTAGGGCTAGGAGGAAACGTATATATCACGTATTTGCTAAATATAGATGATTATTAATTGATTTAAATGTGATCTTAACTTTGGACTTTTGGTTGATTTAATGATATTTTCAGGTTGTTTCTGGAAGGACTAAATAAGTTTGGGAAAGGAGACTGGAAGAACATATCGAGGCATTGTGTGAAGTCAAGGACATCGACGCAAGTGGCAAGCCATGCTCAGAAGTATTTCAATAGGCTAAAACGGGGGATTACGGATGGGAAACGCTCGAGTATCCATGACATGACTCTGGGAGATGTGGAAAATGTCCCAGGATCCAACTTGACGTGTATGGACCAGCAGCCACATTTTGGTGACCAAATTTCTTGGAATCAATGTTACCTCTCCCAGGAAAACTTTCCGGTTTTCCGGTGATGATGATGGGTGTATGGCAAACTTTAAAGAACTATATTACGCATAAGTTTTTTAGTTCTAGGGATTTAGAGTTTTTTGGTGTCGGAGTTTTGGTTTCTGGTGTAGACTTTAGTTTTAAAAGAAACTTAAATGGTAACTTTTTGATTTTATCGTTTCCAACTCCTTTACTATAGAAAACAGAGTAGTGACTCTATTAACGAAAAGGTTTTATTAGTCCCTTTGACTTAGTCCTGCTACTGTTGGATTAGTTTTCTTCACCCTTGATGATAGTGATACGTGCTTCAGCCCTTGCCAAAACCGGTCCTACAATTTATGTAGTCTAAAGCATATTTGACTTTGAAAAAAAAAATTAAAAATTTTAAAAACATCACCCATGGAAACTCGAAACTGAGCGAGAATTAACATTTCATACAAAGGTTTTGCCACTGGACTAATATAATTTTTTAAGTATGTGTCTCATTTTTTTATATATAATTTGTGGCCCAAAGCATAAGGTTTTAGCTGCCTTATGGACGGGTCAGGCCTGGCCCTTGCCACAGAACGAGTATAGTAAGCCGTAATTGAATCCTTAGAACAGAACACGATATAGCAAAAGCTTCCTTTTAACCCTAGTCTCTCTCTTCAGAATAAGGTTAAGCTTGGAAGTTGGTTCTTTATTAATCTTAGGAGATCTATATATAGACCTCATTACAAACTCCAAACCTTAATCTAACGTAAAAGGAAAAACCCAATTACCTTAAAGCTAAAGGAAACATCAAAACTAAAACATGTAAACCGACTTAAGTAGCAACTGACTTCCTACGATGGTATGTGATACCGAATCTCTTATCAGATAGCCAATTCATACACCTATGTTCCTGAATTCATGAAGAACATTAAACAAGAAACGAACTGCGTATGTAGACCTAATTTTCTTATAGCAAAACCATACACAATAATATGACAATCAAATAGAATATGACTTTGTGAAAGTAATACTTATGAACATGACAACAAACAAAATCTTTTTCTATATATGCATATTTGTCTTGATGTGGGTGTGTGTGTTTGGAGCTGCCAGCGTCTGGTCTCTTTTGATCAAGCGTCTGGCTTTGTTACGGCTAAGGTGCATAGGAATCTTCTCCATTCTCGTGCTCCATCGAACTTCCTCTCGGTTTACTTCGAAATCATGCTTCTCCGATTTATGTCCAAGCCACTTTGTTGTTGTATTGCCTTGATCTCGTTGTGTTCTTTTGTTTGCTGCCTCGTTTTGGAGTTGATCTTGTGTTGGCTTGTGCTTTGGTTTGTGGATAGTTAACTTCGTGTTTAGAGGAGCTAGTAAGACCTTGGGATGTTAAGCGTTGTTGTGCTAGCCGGCCTCGGGAAAAGAGCTTGGTAGAGTGAGCTTGCGCTTCTCGTTTCCTTAGGTTCGTGTGGTTCCGCCTTGAGAAAGATCATGGTTAGTTCCAAGAGTAGCTCGCACGTGCCGCGGGTGGAGTCGGTGTTTGTGTTGCTCCTTGTTTCAACGTTGTTGACGGCGCCCATAAGGTGGTGGGCGAATGGTTGGCGGGCCCTGGTTGTTTGGGTGAAATTCTCTCCATCCCGGTTTCGATTCCACCTGCTGTTATCAACATTATTGTGGGAAGTCTGTCAATTGGGCTTTGGCCCAATTGGTTTACCTGATAGTCAGAAATGCAGGCGGCCTGACTACCCCTGGCACTTAGTCGGAAGACATTCCAAACTCGGGATAGACAGAGTGGTAGCCCGAAGGGCCTAGCCGTTAACACGGTGGACAAGTCCACTATGTAGCACCTCGGTGCGTTCCTACCGGGGCCGACCGGATAGCCGATAGGGTTTATGAAAAAAAAAAAAAAACAATTTACTTAAACGATTTCCTTTCGTTTTAGTTATCCTTGATCCGTTCTTCGCCGTTTGACAACATGATGTCATCATTTAGAAAAGTTTACGATCGTTTTGTCGCTTCATTGATTCCGAAAGCGTCACTGCTTTTGTTGATGTCAATGGACTGATTGATTTTGTTTCCATGTTTTTTTATCCTTTTTTGCCATGGGACCAAACTATAGGATCTACTTCATATAACTCCTATAATTTTTTATTTTATGAAATATTAACATTCTTAACAAAAAAAAATATTATATTTGTCTTCAGTCGAAGGAAGGATGATTCTTCTCCACTTCTTTTGGTGGGATCTTTGTTGCACATTTGGATTCATAGGCGATAGCATTGGTAGTTGATTATCTCAATGTGGAAGCCGTATAAAGAGGTTTAGAAGATAGCTAGTTCAGTGGTTTGTCGTTAGTTTTGTTATTACTTTTTTTTTTTTTTTTATCACATTTGCGGAATTGGTTTTGAGTTAGGGTGCAACTGATGACTGTATGAAGTTATGTAGGCATGTAGCAGCAATACGGAAACCCCAAGAACCGGGCAAGTCTAAAAAACTTACCAGAAGACGCATATCTTATGACAACTGCTTCAAATCATGTTAAATTCACCGCTCTCCATAATCAATTAATCAACACATTCAATCAAAGTAGTAGAATCCAAGTCATGGTTTAGATCAATTCAACAACACATTCAATCAAAGTAGTAGAATCCAAATAAATATGGAACCATGGATTTTATATGAAGACAATTAATACTGAATGTTTTACCTAGATGATAGAAGAATATATCAATTAAGACAGAACCAACCATATCCTTCTAAACCAAAATTCATCTACCAAAGAATTATAGAAGAACAAAGAATCTGAAGTGAAAAATGTCCGGTCGTCAGATAATATTGAAGATTTTCTTACAGAAAACATGTTCATATTAGTGAAATATATTATCAACGAAACCACAAAAACTATCGATTGCACCATCAAGTACGGTTTCATAATTTTATATACACAAATTAAGGTGTTATGCAGAAAACTATATGAACTAAAGTAAAATTTTAGTTTTCTACATGAACAACAAAAACATGATCGTAAACTTATATTTACATAGATATCGTTAATCAAATATGACAAGTGATGGTATCCTAGTGGTATTTCCTTCTCACAGATGAGTGCCAGAGGTCTCGAGTTCGAGTCTCTCTGTCACCACGGTGGTACTGAACCTCTCCAAATAAAAACTCCTCCATACGAGTAGGGGCAAGCGGTGTATACTAACCCGTAGGTCCAGGCTGGAGGTGGAGTTTTTTCCTGGATATGGGGCCGCTTTGCGGTGGGGTCTGTCACTATAAAAAGTTTACCCTAACAGTTTTGGAGAAGTGATGGTATCCTAGTGGTATTTCCTTCTCACAGATGAGTGCCAGAGGTCTCGAATTCGAGTCTCTCTGTCACCACGGTGGTACTGAACCTCTCCAAATAAAAACTCCTCCATACAAGTAGGGGCAAACGGTGTATACTAACCTGTAGGTCCAGGCTGGAGGTGGAGTTTTTCCTGGATATGGGGCCGCTTTGCGGTGGGGTCTGTCACTATAAAAAGTTTACCCTAACAGTTTATGTTTACCAAAAAAAAAAAAAAAAAAAAAAAAAAAATGACAACTTGCTAACTAACAATTTACTTAAACGATTCCGAACTCTTTCAAACGACCTTTGACCTTTCCATGGCCTAGCTTGCATTCTTCTTCTCTCCTTCTTGTTTATTTTAGTCGTTTTTTTATTCTTTCCGTTTTTCAGTTATTTTCTTAATCCGTCTTTTGTTCATGTGATAATGGTTAGCTTTTGTAAGCACTAGATTAGTATGTAATTTTTCTTTTGGAATGAAATCTTCACATTAAAAAGAAAACAATTTACTTAAACGATTCGGAACTCTTTCAAACGACGTCGTTTATTTAAAAATTAATTATTTTAAGATAGAGAAAAAAAAACAGGTTTCTGTTAAGAAAGTCAAATATATCATGCGCTTCAAATCAAACATTAGGCGCAGCCGTGTGTTGTTTATAATTTTGATGTGGAGCCCACCGTCACTATGCATGCATAGTAACTTATAATTTTCTCTATAAATAGAACGATGAACGTTCGATGTAAAATCACAACTCGCATTACTTCAATTATAAGAGAAGCAATAATCCCTCTCCCTCTCATCTCTTTATTATTCAGTATCACGATCTTTCTGCGGGTATAATTTTCTCATCATTAAATATTTATATATCCACTATAAAATCAAATACTCTTTTACAACACGTTATCAGCACGATCACTCTATGATCGCTGAAAAAAAAAATACGGTATTATACCGGGCGGTATGTCGCTTCGTTAAAAAAAAAAAAAATATGAGAAAAAAAAAAGAAAAGAGAAAAAAAAGAGAAAAGAAAATTATATAAATAAATAAAAGAAACTATATATGTATATATATATATATGTTACCTCATGCACCCTAATTAATAATTTTCTATCAATGGTTGGCTGAGCCACCTGAAATTTTATTTACTGCTTTAAATATTTATTTCTGTTGTCGGTCGGCTGAGCCGCCTTAATTTTATGCACTGCTTTAAATATTTATTTCTGCTACCGGTCGGCTGAGCCGCCTTTATTTTATGCACTGCTTTAAATATTGATTTCTGCTACCGGTCGGCTGAGCCGCCACATATTTATTTACTGTTTCTATGTGAATGACTCCATGACCATAATATCACCGTGAATTATTTGTTTATATTATGATTATTATACAAGAAGGTTTATTCATCTGTATAAATATTTTTATCTGAATCGATAATTTTTGTTTGATTGATCTCTAATTTTTCAGATTAATTTTTGTTTAAATCTTTTTCCGCCAACGGTCTCAAAGAAAAATTTCAAAATTTTTTCAAAAAAAAAAAATATTCAACTTTTTCCAACGGCTAGGAATAGTATTTTTCAATCTATGAATACATTCATTTTCTCATTCATTTCATCAAAACAAAATTTTTTATATCTCTAAAAACTCTCTCCGAAAAAAAGAAGAAGAATTTTGAAGTTTTGAAGTTTTGAAGAATGTTTCGATTACTTTTAATATTTGCTTTTGGAATCATTATTTTGTGTATTTATAATCTTTGCGTTGTAGATTTTACTCCGCAAGAATTTCGTTTGAACATTAGTTTACTTGTTTGTACGCTTTTTCTTTTTGTAATCGCTTGCATTATTAATGTAAACGGTTCATTTTAAATATGTTTTAAAATAAATTAAATAAATATTTCTAATAATATTCCATGTTTTTATTTTAGATAACAATTAAATGGCAAACATTGAGAAGCTTAAATTTCCGGCTCTCAAAATTACTGGCGCAAACTACATAGCATGGACCACTGATGTGGAACTATATTTTGAGTCGCAAGAATTATCCGAGACCTTAAAATCGGAAAATTTATCGCCTCCAAAAGATAAGGCAAAGGCGATAATATTTTTGAGAAAGCATCTCGATGAAAATGTGACGCATGACTATGCTCACATAAAAGACCCAGCAGAGCTGTGGCAAGCTTTAAAAGCACGGTTTGACAACCAGAGAGAAATAACTCTCCCTCATGCGTTAGAGGACTGGAAAAACTTGAGGTTCCAGGACTTTGAGAAAGTGTAGGAATATAATTCCGCTATGCTGAGGATAGTATCACAATTAAAGTATTGTGGTAAGCCTATTACTGAAACTGAAATGCTCGAGAAGACTTACCTTACTTTTCATAAAGAACACCGTGTCTTGCAAGAGATGTATAGAAATTTGCAGATGCAGGATATTTATTAGATCCACACAAAGCTCGATCCCAAACAGGATACGTATTCATGATTGGAGGTACTGCTATATCATGGCGTTCTCAGAAGCAGACACTTGTAGCTACTTCTTCGAATCATGCTGAAATCATCGCACTCCATGAAGCGAGTAGAGAATGCGTATGGCTAAGATCAATAAGTCGACATATTCAAACCAGTAGTGGAATTAGTCTGAATACAGAGCCAACTATCTTATATGAAGACAATGCTGCATGTGTTGCTCAGACAAAGGAAGGATATATCAAAAGCGATAGAACCAAACATATCCCTCCGAAGTTCTTTTCATACACCCAAGAGCTCGTGAAGAATAAAGACATTGAAGTAAAATATGTCCGATCATCCGAGAATTCTGCGGATCTCTTCACGAAATCATTACCCACCTCTATATTCAGGAAACATGTTCATAACATTGGAATGCGTCGTCAACAAGACTTGTAAGTTATGATCCTGATCATTCGAGGGGGAGCTTGCGCGGTTGCACTCTTTTTACCTACTATGGTTTTTCCCACCGGGTTTTCCTAGAAATATTTTTAACGAGGCAACAGAAGATATTACGCAAGAGACATAGTGACACTGGTCTCCAAGGGGGAGTGTTAAGAAAGTCAAATATATCATGCGCTTCAAATCAAACATTAGGCGCAACCGTGTGTTGTTTATAATTTTGATGTGGAGCCCACCGTCACTATGCATGCATAGTAACTTATAATTTTCTCTATAAATAGAACGATGAACGTTCGATGTAAAATCACAACTCGCATTACTTCAATTATAAGAGAAGCAATAATCTCTCTCCCTCTCATCTCTTTATTATTCAGTATCACGATCCTTCTGCTGGTATAATTTTCTCATCATTAAATATTTATATATCCACTATAAAATCAAATACTCTTTTATAACAGTTTCATATATATAATTTTGGGCCTTAAAATTCTTGGTTTTTGCTTTCTATTTGTCTCAACTCCCAACTAATTATCAGATCAAAAAAGAGAAGAAAGGAAAAAAAAAAACAAAAAGCAAAATCTAAGGAGAAAAAGTAAGGAGACAAGAAAAAAGGAAAAGAAGGTTACTTACTTACCTACCTAATCTCCATTCCCCACACAACACAGCAAAGCACAGCCTCACTTTATCTCCATATGGTCACATGTACATGTACCAAACTTAGTCAAAGTCACCTCCTTTATATATAACCCAAACTCTCTTCACATCTTTTGATCTCTTCTCTCTTCTCTTACACCATCTTCTTCTTCATTCACCATGGGAAGATCTCCTTGTTGTGAAAAAGCTCACACAAACAAAGGAGCTTGGACTAAAGAAGAAGATCAACGTCTCGTCGATTATATTCGTAATCACGGTGAAGGTTGTTGGCGTTCTCTTCCTAAATCCGCTGGATTGTTACGTTGTGGTAAAAGTTGTAGATTGAGATGGATTAATTACCTTCGTCCTGATCTTAAACGTGGTAATTTTACTGATGAAGAAGATCAAATCATCATCAAACTCCATAGCTTACTCGGCAACAAGTAAGAAACAGAGTACTTCTCTTCTTCGTTTAACTTTTCCGAGAAAAAAATCGAACTTTCTAGGAAACAGAGAGAAAATAGAAACTGGGTCACTTTTTTTTTCCTCACCTCTCTTCTTGTTTCAACTTTCCCGGGAAAAAGATTTGAACTTTCTTGGAAACAGAGAGAAATAAAAACAGAGTATTTCACTTTTTTGATTCCTCTGTTTTTGTTATTCATTTGAATTTGATTATGTTTTTGCAGATGGTCATTGATTGCTGGAAGATTACCAGGAAGAACAGATAATGAAATCAAGAATTATTGGAACACTCATATTAAAAGGAAGCTTCTAAGTCATGGGATTGATCCACAAACTCATCGTCCGATTAACGATTCCAAAACGGTGCCGTTTCAGACTGTTGTTCCTAGTCAAAACGACGCCGTTGAGTATTCTTTTTCCAATTTAGCCGTTAAACTGAAGACGGAAAATTCCTCCGATAATGGAGCTTCGACTAGTGGTACGACGACGGATGAGGATCTCCGGCAGAATGGGGAGTGTTATAATAGTGATAATTCAAGAAAAATAGAGCTGAATTTGGATTTAACTCTCGGGTTTGGATCCGGGTCAGTTCGGGTAGTTGGAGCCGGGTCATCGGCTGATTCGAAGCCGTGGCGGGATCAGCTGATGACGGCGCGTTTGTCACAGTTGTAATAATTTGTTGAAATTCCCAAAAATGGGGTTTTTAGATTTTTTTTTTTGTGAGTCCTTTTGGGTAACTATAGAAATTATTACTTCAGTTTCTTTGCTATTTTCTTTTGGTTTTTGTTCATATATATATCTTGAAAAAGAAAAGAAAAATGATAAATATTTATTTTGGTGACCAAAATAATTTTGTGGACATAGAAATATCAAAATATTTCACCTCTGTTGAAAATAAACTAATTTTATTTTGTCAAATGTAGAAGCATAAATCCAGCAGGAGTGAAATGTGAACATGGCTTTGGTTCTTATGGATCAACCGTTATCCATTTTTACATGTAGATATAGATAGATATTGGTATTTTTAGGAAAGGCTTCTAGAAACTTGAATTAGGTTATAATGGGGACCATATTGTTGCAACTAGCAAGTTTCAACAAATATCTCGTTCACTATGTTAAATAATTTTTTCATTTAACATTTTAGTTGTTAGTTTATATTTTACTTTTGTTTATAACTAAAAAGTGATTCTAACTTTCACTATCCAATAAATTTGGATGAGTTAAATTATCGGATACTTCATCAGAATTTCTAATGAACCCAAAATATGGTATCATTTTAATTGGCAAAATAGAAGCGGTTTATTTCAACCAAAATACCAAATTATGTACTCCATATTAATTGCAATTTTAATATAAAAAAAATTCTTCCTTTATTTTTAGTTTTTTTTTCGGTACCAACTAAATGTTATAGAACTTGTTGTTCTTATTGATTAATGAATGAGGTTTCAATACATATTTATACATGACAAGGGGAGACAAATCTCCATTGGGCTAGTAAACCCTAAAGCCCAAAAGCCCACTAAGTATAACATAGACCGTCATAAGGAGAATCCTCTAGAACATGGACATGGGCCTTCTAGAATATAGATTAGGCCCACGGTTATGGAGTCCATCCGACCATGCGGTCTACAACACTCCCCCTTGGATGACATAACCGTGTAGATGCCAAAGGATCTCAGTAATACGCTCGGGGATGCTGCCTCATTAAAACCTTACCAGGAAAACCCATTGGGACAAAACCATGGTTAAGGAAAAAGAGTACAGCACGTATTACTCCCCTTGTTTTGGTCATCCCTGCAAGTCCTTAAGTCTCCGCATTCCAATTTGATGCGTGAGCTTCCTCAATGTCGATGTTGGTAACGCCTTGGTGAAGAGATCGACTGAGTTGTCGCTGGATCGAACTTGTACCACTCGAACTTCTCCATCCCTTTGCAAGTCATGCGTGAAGAAGAACTTGGTTAGAATGTGCTTCGTCCGATCTCCCTTGATGTAGCCGTCCTTGAGCTGAGCGATACAGGCTGTGTTGTCTCCTCATATGATGGTCTTTGATGTTGTAGTAGCTGCGCCTTGAAGAAGGCTGCCTACGTACCCTTGGAAGGGATCAAGCCACACGTAGTTCCTATTTATTGACCATGCCATAATCTGATTTTACCTTCCTTCAAACCTTTCTAGTGCCTTTGGGTTGATCATGAACTAAATTTAGACAAAGGAGGTTGACGGCAAAACATATGTCTGGTCTAGTGTGGCTAGCCAAGTACATTAACGCTCCTATGGCACTGAGGTATGGCACTTCAGGACCTAGAGCTTCTTCCTCGTCCTTCTTTGGACCGAATGGATCACTATCCAATCCAAGGCTTCTCACCACCATTGGGCTGCTCAATGGGTGGGCCTGGTCCATATTGAATCTCTTGAGTACTTTTTCAGTATATGCCTTTTGATGCACAAGGATTCCATTATTCACGTACTCAAGTTGCAATCCCAAACAGAATTTTGTCTTGCCTAGGTCTTTCATCTCGAATTCTTTCTTTAGATATTTGACTGTTTGGGCGATTTCCCCAGAGGTTCCAAGGATGTTCAAATCATCCACATATACTGCTATTATCACAAACCCTTCGTTTGCAAATTTCTTTATGAAGATACATGGACTGATGGGATCATTCTTATAACCTTCTCTGACTAGGTACTCGCTTAATCTATTGTACCACATGCGTCCACTTTGTTTCAGTCCATAAAGCGATTTGTTCAGCCTTATGCAGTATTGGTCTCGAGACCCTTTCTTATCTTTATCTTTGAGCTCAATACCCTCTGGTAATCTCATATATATCATCCAGTGGACTTATATAAATATGCAGGCATTACATCCATTAGCCGCAAATCAAGTCTTTTTCTTTATATAGCCAGACTTAGCAAAATTTAAATGTCTTAGCATCCACCACAGGGGAGTATGTTTCTTCATAATCTATCCCCGGTCTTTGTGAGAATCCTTGTGCTACAAGCCGTGCCTTATATCTCACGATTTCATTATTCTCATTTCTCTTCTTCACAAAGACCCATTTGTGTCCTACTGGTTTTTACATCGAATGGTGTCCTTAAGGTCGGACCAAACTCATTCCTTTTCTTAATGATTCTTAGCTCCACGTTTTATGGTCTTGTACCATTTAATCAATCAAGTCTTTGAGTGCACTCTAGTATAGACGTGGGCTCCTGATCCTCATTTATATTCATAAATTCAAGTGCTACCTTGCATGCAAAATCATCTTATGTCGACATTTCTTATATGTTCCATTATGTTCCAGACATGATATAATCGATTTGAGATTTATTATGGTCAGGACCTTTAATACTTTGCAGCTTGGCGTCCCAAGCTACATTATATGGTACCTGTACCTTAGAGCCGGCCGGCCTTATCTCCATGTCTGGGATGGTTTCCTTAGTAACCTCGGATTTCTATTGCACCTTTCTTTGATTTTCGAGGATTTTTATCTTTGGAACCTATTGGTCTACCACGTTTCTTTTGTGTGTTAGACTCGGTAGCAATTTCATTGATTCCCTTTTGGATATCAATACGTACTGGTGCATTACAAGCTGGTATGTACGTTTTTGTAACTTTCTTTGGGTCAGCAAAGGAATCTGGCAATTGATTAGCTAGCTTTTCAAATGTATAATCTTATGGACCTCTGATTCTCATGCCAGAGTCCGAGGATCTTGCCAATTTAAGGATGTTTGATTCCATTATATTTCTTTTATTGCTTTACCCAGCTTGTTCGTCTCTCCACCTATAGTAGGAAATTCGGATTCATTCAAATGACAATCCGCGTATCTAGCCTTAAATAGATCACCCGTAGTTGGCTCTAGATACTTAATAATGGTGGGAGAATCAAATCCAACATATATTCCCATCCTCCTTTGAGGTCCCATCTTTGTTCTATGTGGTGGAGCAATCGGTACATATACGGCACACCCGAAAGTCTTTAGATGGGATATGTCTGGCTCATGACCCATGAGTAATTGGGATGGTGAATATTTATGTTCACTAGATGGCCTTATGCGTATAAGCTCTGATGCATGTAAAACAGTGTGTCCCCAAGCGGCTACTGGAAGCTTCGACCTCATGAGTAATGGTCGAACGATCAATTGAATTCGTTTAATGAAGGATTCCGCTAATCCATTCTGTGTATGTACATGTGCTACGTGATGTTCCACACTTACCCCCATGGACATACAGTAGTCATTAAACGCTTGGGACGTGAATTCACCGGCATTGTCTAGACGTATAGTCTTAAGCGGAAAATCTGGAAAGTGGGCTCGCAGTCTTATTATCTGGGCCAATAACCTAGCAAACACTTGGTTTCTAGTAGATAGGAGACAAACATGCGACCATCTTGTCGATGCATCAATGAGGACCATACATATATCTCCTTGTATCCTTTCCAGAAATTTTAAGGTCTCTTTATTTACCTTAGCCGGTGATGGCCTTATAATGAGTTTCCCTTGTGAACATGCTTCACACGTGAGATTCTTAGGGATAACTCTTTTCTCTTTTAGGGTGTGCCCCTTTGAATTTATCATAAGCTTACGCATCATACTATGACCCGGATGGCCAAGCCGGTCATGCCATAAAGTGAATTTCTCGATGAACTCTTTGTTCATTGCCATATTAGCTTCGATCATATCGATTTTAACATAGTAGAGACCAGTGGATAATGCGGGTATAGTCTCTAGGACTTTCTTATGTCCTTGGGTGATCTCTTTGTTCCCTTCACCCTTTGTTTCAATATGGAAACCATTCAATCTTATATCTTTGAAACTTAACAAGCTCCTCTTCGAGCTGGGTGAATATAGGGCATCGCTTATTTCAAGATGTGTGCCCTTTGATAAAAGGATATGGGCTTGACCATGGCCCTCAATAAGACTAGCTATACCCGCTATGGTGCTAATATTGGCATTTTTCAATGTTAGATTTATAAAGTATCTTTTGTCTTTTAAAATTGTGTGGCTCGATCCACTATCCACCACAAGTATATTCTTGTCATCGGCCATTGACAAGAAATATGTCTTAGATAATAAAGTAAACGATTATATTAAAGGCAAATTAAACTTTAAATTTAAATCCAAGAAATAATAGAATTCAAAGACATAGAATAGAATTCAAAAACATAGAGCATGGAAACATAAAGTAAATTAAAGCATAAAGCAAATTAAAACACAAGATGTCGAATTTAATTTTCCTCTCTTAAGCAATCCGAAGTCTCATATTCCAATTGGTCATCGTTCTCATGGTCAAAATCTCCATCACCATCGAGATGAGCCAAATTGGCTTCGGAATTCTTCTTTATCATTTCTTGATAAGCATCGATTAGATGTTTAGATGTCCTGCACGTCTTAGCCCAATGATTGTCCATTCCGCATCTATGGCAAACGGACTTGGCCTTGTGTTGCGGTTTGAAGATCCCGCGGCCACGACCTCGACCATTGTTCCCACGGCCTCTACCACCATGGTGGTTTCCTCGGCCATAGCTGCTACGACCACCACCACGTCCTCTACCACGGCCACGACCATGATACCCTCTATGGACGTAGTTGGTTTCTTTGGTCTCTCGAGGTTCTTTGGCTATTTCGGCCTTATGGGCTTCCGGCAACGGTGTGGATCCTGGAGGTCTCATTGAGCTATTCATTAGTAATAGCTCATTATTCTTTTCAGCAAGGAGTAAGCAGGAGATCAAACTTGCATATGTTTTGAATTTCATTCCACGGTATTGTTGCTGAAGT